ATAAAATACAAAATAATGTAAGGTAAAATTGCAAATTTGAAATGACAAATTCTTTATTAAATTCTGTATAAAGAATAAAATTTATTTAAGAAATAAATTATGTATGATTGACTATGTGGGAATAGTTGAATGGGGTTTCTTAGGAAAGTCATTTAAAGGGGTTCAGTTTGGAGGAAGTTGTCCCTTTGTCTTTTTGCCCTCTGTATTATTCCTTCCTCCGTCACCCTTCTCAGAAGACAGCTCCATAGCTGAAACTGCAGTGAAGCAGCCATTATGCAACCAAGAAGAAAAAGACAAAAGGAAGTTCCATCATCTTGGAGAACTCCCCCCCTCCCCAGCTTCCAACTATTATTAGTAACAATTGGTGACCCTGGCCAGTTCTTTTTGTGAGAAAAATAAACTCCTATGACAGTTTCCCAAATGTTTTCAATCCATTCTTAGCAGCTCAGCAATTTTTGCATAGTGCCCCTAGGTCGAAAAGAACACCTAATTAAGGGGGGAGGAGGGCGTGTCTAATAGCTCCATTTATTAAGTTGTTACATGTCAACAACTTAATAGTATTTATGTACTAACTTATTAGCTGTTTGAAAAAAAATTGTATTTATGTACTAACTTATTAACTGTTTGAAACCTAAATTAAAAATAAAATTACTTTATTTTTTAAATAGCCACAATTATTATGTTCCAATTATACCCTCTTCTCAAACCTTGGAATCAGAATGGGCACCACCATCTTCATCTCCTATCTCACACTTGATTTTCACTTAACACTTGCTTTTTCATTATGGTAAAATACACATAAGATAAAAATTATCGCATGACCATTTTAAAATATATAATTCAATGGCATTAGGAACATTCATATTGTTATGTAATCATTACCACCACCCATCTCCATAATTTTTTCATCTTTCTACAACGAAATTCAGCACACACTAAACACTAACTCTCCAACTCCCCACAACCTCCAGTAGACAGCAACCATCATTCTACTTTCTGTCTCTATGAATCTGACTACTAGAGGAACCTCAAATAAGAGGAATCATACAATATTTGTCCTTTTGTGACTGACATGTTTCACTTCTTTAAGGACCATCCATGTTGCAGCATGTGCCAAAACATCCTTCCAACTAAATAAGATTTTATTTTACGTATAGGACACATTTTATTTATCCATTTATCTATTGGTAGATATGGTTGCTTCTACATTTTGATTACTGTGAAAAATGCTGCAATGAACATGGGTATATAAAGTATTTCCTTTTATCACATTTATTAAATAAGCAGCTTTTCAAAGCTATGACATCATCAAAAGGAGCACAGTGCAATCTAAAGTTGACTCAATGACTCTCCTAAAGCTAGTAGTTTGCCTGATGTTCACAGGATGCTACATATCTTTGTTTCCTTCAAAATTTAAGATATGCTGTGACTCCCCTGAATTTGCCATGGCACACCAGTGCCCTTGGCTGACTAAGAACCACATCCCATGATAAAGCCACTGATATTTAAGTTTCCAGTTGAACAGAATTTAATCCTTAAGTAACATAAACATTACAATCAAATTTCTACTTCTTATGAGGCCCCAGTGGGCATCCTCCAGTCTTCAAATAAGACATTTTTCTGTGTGACAGTTCTTGGGTAGTATTTTCTGCACTCGGTTCCACTGAATACCTGAGCTGTCATAATCACTCTCAGGGTTTAGAAAGGGAATTTTCTTAGCTATCTTGCAAATTACACTTGGCCCAAAAGCAATAATGCCCACTGTGATGGTTCATTTTACATGTCAATTTGGCTAGGACAACTGTCATAGTTGACAATCAACTACTTGGTCAAATTTTACTCTGGTGTATTTATGTGAGTGTTTTTAGATGAAATTAACATTTAAATTGACAGACCAAGTGAAGTAGATTGCCTTTCATTATAGGGGTGGACCTCATTCAATCAGTTGAAGGCGTGAATGGAACAAAAGGCTGACCCTTTACCAATTACTGCCTTTACACTCAAACTGAAGCATCAGTTCTTCCTGGATGTCAAACCTGCTAACCTATGTCGTTGCCCGTGCTAGTTCTCAGGCCTTTGAACTTGGACTAGAACTAAACCATTAGCTCTTCTGGGTCTCTAGCTTGCTGACTCATCCTGCAGATTTGGGGGCCTGTCACCCTCCATAATCACATGAGCAATTATATCCCTGTATTTGTTTGTATCTAGATAGATAATAGATAGAAAGATAGATACAGATTAGATAGATAGATAGACAGATATATGAACAGGTATATAGACATACATATATAATTAGAGGTAAATACATCTCTTATTTGTTCTGTTTCTCTAAAGTGCCCTGATTAATAAACCCAGAGTCATGGGTTCATTGGTATCTATTTTTCTGGGTCATGCCATTGTCAATAATACACGGGAAAATAATGGCAAAACGAGGAAGTGATGCCAACATCAAGTCTATCACATCATCCCCAAGGTTAAAACCCTTCCATAATTGTCTAGCATCCTCAACAGATCCAAACTCCATGCCCTAACATTTCTAACCCTTCACCTGACTTCTGCTTAATCCTCTCTAGTCTTATTTCTTCTCAGTCTCTAAACCCCCTATTATGAAACCAGGTAAAAGTCCACAATCTCTCCCCTCCAGGGTTTGAGTGTGCTTTTCTCTATTCATTAGTTCTAAAACTATAGAATTAGTTCCTGACAGCCCCCTCACATGCACACACAATCACACACACACACACACACACACACACACACACACACACAGGACATACACTTTGCACAACCATAAGCTAGCTTCTTTTCCTTTGAGTTTCTATCTAGACATCCTAACTCTTCCAAGATCCACGTATCAAGCATAAATTGGAAATCCCTACAAATATTGCCAAATCACCCTAAGCATATCCCTGTCAGAGCCATTATAATGCGTTATTTTAACTTCCATTTATTTTTCAAAGTTCTTGAGGGCCATGACTATGTATATCCCTAAAATGTATCACATGTAATATATGCCCATTCTCATCCTATTATTAGTTTAGTTTAGGAAATGTCAATCAAGACCTGTAAGGAACACACAGTCATTCCTGGCACCCCCCAACCCCTAATCCATGCCTATGCATGACCCCACCATGCAGCTCCAGAACAAGCACTGCAAACTGGACAGGTGTGCAAGAAGCCAGGAAATTGAAAAGAGGAGAATCAGAAAGCAGCATTAATTTTACATGAGTTCCAAGATATATTAACCTGGAGAGTTCACTATCACTTAAGCATGAACTTTTTTTTTAGACCATGACAATAATTATTACCACTTCTGGCCACCATCAAACAAATATTCCCAAACTACTTACTGGCTGGCAACCTGAAATCACTTATTCTTTCTGGACTTTAGTTTGCTTATCAGTTAATCAACAATATCATATACTCGGGGCTGTCATAAGAAATAACTGAGATTATGCATTGGAAAGCATTTAACACAGTGCCTGACACATGCAAAATGTCATGATAAAATAAATGCAAGTTATTAACATTATCACCATTATTATTGCCAGTCAGGATTTCAAATACAAGTATATATAAAAGCATATTACAGTTCACTAATCAAATATGAGCTTAAAAGTTTTACTGGTTCTTAGTTCCTGAAAATGCAAACACATGAGCTTAACATTCAGAAACTTAGTTTGCCATGCCATGAACACAGCAGCTGACAGAGTTATTTCATATGGAGACCCAGGAAATATTTTTCCTATACTTATTCTAAATATCAGTAGCTCTAAGAAATAGAACAATTCACAACAAAACTTAAACCAAAATAAAAGACAGAAAAGAGCTACAGATGTATTTAAGTTTTGTTTTGTTTTGTTTATAATCTACCCATTTCTACTATATGTCTCCATGCAGAGAAATACAGAGACACTAAATAAGCAACTTTTGGCTTTTTGCCTGACGTAAAAATTATTCACCAAAACTGGGTTAGTTATGAGTCACAAAGCTGCTAATAATTTTATTTGGTAGTATAAACACCGTTAATATAAACATTTTAAGCTAAATACTAAAAATACCTAAAGGATTATATAATTGTTTAATTTTCCGTAACAATGCTATATTTTACATGGGATCTATTTTCTTTCATTTTCCAGCCCAATTATATACATCATTTGCAATAACTTCACTCAGTCAATATCAGTTTACAGAGTGTGTCAAGCAATTTGCTGTTTTCAACAATTATTGTTTAATTTAAATTATTCAATTATTATACAATTATATATAATTATATATTATTTTAAATTATAGATATATTTTATTCTGTAATTTAAAATATGTGGTAATTCAAACACTACTGAATTAAAAGCACATTCTCTCTGCATTTCAAATTAACCAGCTTTTCTAGTTCTCTGTAAGAGAACTAGACATATACAAAATATATCTTTTCATTATTCTCCTTCAGCTTGTTTTCCTATTTTTACTAAAAACATTATAAAAATTCTAAGTCTGCACTTAATATAATTTTTACATTGATATTTACTAATTCCTTATTTTGTTAGCTATTAAAATTTCTCCTTTTTTTATCCTTTTCCATCTAAACACATTATTTCTAGCACACAATTGACATAATGATGGGTCCAGTCACCCCTTTAACTCCATGATCTGTAGAATCCAGGCCTTGCAGAGTTTCATATATCCAGTGGGCAGAATCCTATTAAACTTATTTATGTTCTTCCACCACCACCCTATTTCTGATATTTCTATCTCACTGTTCACCGTATTTAATAATCCCACTAGGTGTCACATTTATCATTGTGTCCTCTTCACCTCCACACACATGTAAATGTGTACACATCCACCCCCTTACTGAGCAAGTTACATATCATTATGAAACTATCAACTTTGGCCCTAACTTTGGGTCATGTATTTTTCCATAGGATTTGCTGACAGAGAAGGGACTAGAGGAAGGAAAAAAAATCACTGTTAATTTTTAAAAGATCCCAAAAAGACAATCCTACCTTTGCCAGGATTTGTTGGAAAAGGACTTCCAAACTCCTGCTGCTTTGGCTTTAAAGTGTGTGGCCCTGACATGCCTCCAGCCTGAGTGACCTGGAATCGTGGCTTCCCATTGGTGAGCACTTGTCTCCTAGGGCTCAAGGCAGGTAGATGGATAGGGCTCTCAGCCATGTTGTTCTGAGAAGCCATCCCTCCTCCTGAGGGCATCTTGAGATGGATACTGTTAGCAAGGCCTCCGATAGCAGGGCTTGGTGTGCTGCCACAGGATGAGGGGCCAGGAGTCCCTGAGTGGGCTCGCAAGGGAGGAATGTGTTGGCCACTGACCATTCCAGGTCCCTGAGGGGTTCCTGTTGACCGCAGGAGATTCATGCTGCATGACCTTCCATTCATTCTGAAAAAACCTGTGGCCAGGATGGTCAAATATCCAAAGGCACTAATGACTCCTTTCAGGCAAAGTCCAATAAGTTATCCATGATGTGGGTTATTAGCCTGTTCAAAAAAATAAATGCAGGCATTTTTAAAAGCAAAAATGAAAACAAGTTACAGTGAGTTTTCAACCTGTGTAACATTAATATGAGGAAGAGAAGCACCACTCTTAGCAAAATGGCCATTTATGTAGAGCAGAGTCATCAAAAGCCTGGTTCACTAGCAGGGTCTCTCCCCTCCTGCATTCTTGATAAACACAGATTATGGATCACTGCATTGTTTGGTTTGCCATTGAGTCCTTCTCAATACAGTGTTCTTGGCAACTATAATCAATCTACTGGTGCCAGCTTGCAAAATGAAACTTATTTTGCTCCTAGAGGATCTGTCCATACTAGTTCATTTTTTGCTACAATAATTCTTGGGAAACCCATAAGCACTACCTTCATGAGCTGTGAGACCAATGCTTCAAAGATTCCAGTAAACAAACAAAAGCAGGTAAGACCTCTAAAAATAAGATTATAAGAACATTGGGCCTCCCCGGTGGCACAGCAGGTTGAGCACAGCGCTGTGAGGCTGTCCGCAGCCTCTGCAGCATGGGTTCGATTCCCGGCCGGCCAGAGAGATTCCCGCACAGCATGGCAGACCTCTCCTGTTGCATCTGCTGCTCCCCTCAGCAGTGTATATCGGTCGTCTGCCTGTTCTGCTCCCCACTCTGTCTCTGGTGAATCCTCTCACCCTCCCGCGCCTCTGGCCTGTACCCCAGCTCTCGTGTCAAAATAAATAAATCTTTTAAAAAAATTAAAAAAAAAAAATAAGACTATAAGGACATCAAACCATTTCTGATTTTCATCCAAGAACAATCTTCTGCAGTACCTAGATTTATAAAGATGAAAATATGGACCTGGGACTCTCACAAAGGTTTCATATAGCCATCTAGCCAATATTCACATCAGCATTAGAGTCTTAGTTCCACGCTGACCCTGAATTATGGGGATCCTGAGTTAAGATCCTTGAAAAAAGAAAAGCTGTACACAATGTAACATAAGGAAAGAACAGCCCCTCCATCCGTGGGTAGTAGAATCACCATGCACCACACACAATAAATTGATCTTAGTTTCACGAAGCTTCTATCTGCCATTTTACCACCCCCTTCCTCAAGCGGAAGAGGGAAAACCAAGAGAAGAATTAACATGACCACAGAATGTCATAGTCTGCCCCTGATATCAATACTCCCTGGTTACAAATCATGAGGAAACGCCCTTCCCTCCCTTGATCTGTAGCTCCCCATAGCGTACGCAGTGAGGAGATTAAGTGCCAATACTCCAAAAGCATGACAGGCAGTTACAATCTACAACCTTTTATATAGTAGTAGAAAGAGACCAAAGATGAACAAACACAGGAAATACCAACTGAATATAAAACATGTGTAGCCAGATATCCACTACTAGATGATTCCTAGCTTTTCTATAGGTTCCACTCGAAGTCTTGGTAAAATATTTCCAATTCAATTTCCAAATGAATGACTCTATCAATCATCAAGACCAGGACAGTAAGAGGCAAACTTTTTGTGAAAAGGTTATTTTTTCAATCGCACAGAAAATCTAAAATATTTAATTTTCAAGTCAAGCACTCACTGTGCCTTCTCAAAGTTGACAGTGTACACCGATATGTTGATAGACTTAAAAAAGCATTAGCAACATAAAATTTTAAATGTCTTCTTGATTTTTACTTGTCCTCTATATTATCAGGAAGTCTATCAGTCTGTGATAATACTGTCATGCCATCCAGCCCTAGGAAACACTAAAAGTAGTCTTATAAATCAGGTCTTTCTCCTTTTCCCAGAATTGGACAAATAAATCTAAGTTATCTAAACCTTCATCATTTAAGTTTGTAAATGGAACAATAAGAAATAGATCCTGTATCAAGCAAGTTACATTTTTTTTTAACACTGGAAAAATTCTGATGCATTTCTATTTCAGCCATTTAGAAGAACAGAATGTATTACCAACTGGTCTGTTGACTCGTTGGTTGTTCATGGGTTAAGAGTCATGTAATGTCTCTGTGCTTTTGCTAGCTGATACTGGCCATCTATTCTCCATTCGTTGATAAAGTAGTATTTCTGTACATTCTGAAGAAGAAAGCACTCATTCAAACTCAACCAAAAAATTTAAAAAGACAAAATAAGTATGTTGGGTTTGCAATTGTTGAAAAGAATTGTCCAACAAGACTGGAAATATGAGTCATTAAGACCATGGTCCAAATGAGAAGTATCTGCAGATTTGCAGACTCTGCCCATTTCCAGATTTTTAAAAATAAGGGAGTCATTTTGGCAGCCATATCATATACAAGCAGGAATTCTCATCAAAAATCTGAATAAAAAAATCTTAAGTAGATATTTAACATTAGGCTAGATCATTACAAAGGCAAACTTGCAAAAAGGAAAAATAATTACAGCACTGAAAACTTAATTAAGTATCAGACACTCATACCTGTCTTGGATTTGATTTTTTTTATATAAACTGCATTCCATTTCTGAGATAGCTTTTGATTTAAAATAAAAACAACAACTGTAAAAATGTACTTAAATTTTATTACTAAAAGAGCAACAGCCAGAAATTAAAGTGATTATACCAAAAAGAAAAACCTATAGGTTAGTGGCATATAAGTTGAGAAAACCAGCCTCAAGACAAAACTAAAATATAAACTATTTGTGAAAATATGCCTCATAATCTGGTTTTCACATCTATTATGCCTATGGATTTTTCAAGCATTAGATATTAGAATTTGAAAATCAATTTTATCCATTTGGTTAAAAAAAAAAGAAAGAAACTGTTAATTTTTTAAGAGAAACACATCCTCAGAGTGAAAAGAGCTCTCTACTAGAAGTTAGGATATCTAAGTTCTACTTCTGGAAGAATATTTATAACTTTTCTGGACTTAAGGTTTTTCCTCCATAAAATGAGGAAGTTGGTGATAATCACTATTGTCTCTTGAAATTCTGTTCTTACATATAATTGAGATGAGGAAGATTATAAAAATACCCATTTCCTATGATCAATAATAAATATGTATACTTTATACATATGGCAAATTTAAATCTAGGGAATTTGGGTAGAGATGGAAGCAAAAATAACAGTACTCACTATAGACTCCATCAAAGCAAGAAGTAGTAAAAGACTCATGTCAGCAATGTGCAGAAAGACAACACTTACCTTGAAAAATGAGTATTAAGATTACATTTTCCTACACTGTGCCAAAAAGTGAAGTCACAGCTAATCAGTATCAAACTTAATTGGTAGGATTCAATTGGAAAAGCACCTTTCTATTAAAAACTTTGGTTCTCTGGGCCTCCCCGGTGGCGCAGCGGTTGAGCGCTGGGTTGCCAAGCTGCCTGCAGCCTCTGCAGCGCCGGTTCAATCCCCAGCCACAGGGCGAGGGTCCCACATGGCGCGGAGACCTCTCCGGCTGCCCGCTGCTCCCCTCAGCAGTGTATTTCGTCAGTCTGTCTGTTCTGCTCCCTGCTCTGGCTCTGGTGAATTCTCTCACCCTCCCGTGCTTCTGACTGTACCCAGTGCTTGTATAAATAAATAAATAAATCTTAAAAAAAAAATTAAAAAAAAACTTTCATTCTCGGGCATTACTTTCATCTCTGTTCTCCATCAAACTACTACTCTACTCCAGGCTATAAACAAAAAGAAGAGAAAGCAAGGAGTATCAGCATTTAGAACATTAGGGAAATGACATATTGACACATTTAAATTTTTAATACTCCATTGATTTAAAGAAAGAAATGTCCATTCTGCTATGTGAGTCAACATGAGTTACTAAATCTTTCCTTTTGTCCACTTTCAAACTCTAAAACATACTCCTCCTGTCTGGAAGGTCATAGAGGAAATTAACTCCTAAGGTAACTAAGGCATATGACAATTTAATAATTTCACTAATTTTCTCAAAAAGTTATGACTTTAGGGCCTCCCCGGTGGCGCAGCGGTTGAGCGCTGGGTTGTGAAGCTGCCCGCGGCCTCTGCGACGCAGGTTCGATCCCCGGCTGCTCCCCGGCCACCAGAGGAGGGTCCCACATGGCGCGCAGACCTCTCCTGCCGCCCCCTGCTCCCCTCAGCAGTGTACTTCGGTCCTTCTGCCTGCTCTGCTCCCCGCTCTGGCTCTGGTGAATTCTCTCACCCTCCCACGCTTCTGACTGTACCCAGTGCATGTATAAACAAACAAACAAACAAACAAACAAATAAAAACATGCCTCTATAAAAAAAAAAATTATAAAAAAAAAAAAAAAGTTATGACTTTAGTCAAAATACAAAGTCACGACACTATCAATCCAAGACTCCAACTGTTTTTCCTTGTGGATTAAAACGTAAAACAACTGAAAAGCAATGTTAACTCATCCATCCAAGAAAATTCCAAAAATACAAGATCCATAATATCTACTTACAGTCAAAGCCCTTTCTTAGTAAATACCATTAATACACTAATCTAGAGTCATAATTCATCTGATGAGCCAGTTAATTATTAATTTTCATACATCATTTCATTTCCTTAGGCTACATTTAGCCTTTGTTACATTTTCCATTCCTTATGCCACAAGCATTTCTTACCCAGCATAGAAAATCTGGTAATGATAAAAAATACTGGTCAGCAAACAAACTGTTCCCGATCTGACTTTATATGTGTGTGTGTGTGTGTGTGTAAAGCATCTAAAATAGAATTTTTATTGATTCTTTTTATTTTTTCCTTTCAGGTTAATGATTGCATAATTTCATTAACATTGCCTTTCAACATTGTTGCCTTGATCATTAATAGGCCCAAGTTATTCCCATGGGCTTCTCCAGTTACAGCTTTTGTAGCCAGAATATATAAATGAAAAGCCTATTGATAGATAATATAAGTTATTCTCATGCACGGCTGCAGTGTGAAGCATATTTTGCAATTCAATCAAGGACAGATAGAGCTGAATGTTCTCAGATCCCGAGAGTTCATTTTAATAAGCAGAATGTACCTTGTCCTAACACAGGTGACTGACTCCTCAGAAAGGATTGTATAAACAAAAC